AGTACTAGAGAGTGAAAGAGAATATCAGGTCAAAGAAATTATTAACTTAGAGAAGTGAGATTATAAGCTCTGATTCAAGGTTCAGTGATAAGAGTATTCTGATAAGATGAATAAGTTCACTTGAGAATCATTCAGACAGATAAGATATCTGCAGAAGCTAAGACATGACTTTTATACTATGAATTCTGATAAGTCAGAATAATGCAGTCTTCACTAAGAATCTGATTATAATAAAGATATTAACACTGTCATTTGTAAATTCTAGTCTATAAGATAATGAGTTTCTACTGAGATGAATAGTCTGCAGTGTATGTAAGAGAAGAAGAAATCATATTCTTATTAAAGCTAAAAAAAAACAAGAAAATAAACAGAGCTGTGAACACAATTTAGAGATTAATAAAGAAAAAATAAAGAAAACTCATACTCATATTCTCAATATCTGTGACACTCAATTCTCTCACAACTATCAATTTTTCTCTTTAAAGAAGCAGAGAGTATTATATCTGTGATACAGATAATTATTGCATTTAACACAAAGATTATCAGAAATGCACAGACTTCAGAGAAGTCAGACATCAGAGTATATACAGTTGTAACAGAATCTTGAGAACTGATCATCTGCATGTGTGATCAGATATTTCTCATAAAGCTGTATTCACTCTCTCAGTTGTGCTGAAGTATTCAGCCTGAAAATAATTGAGATGTAAAGAGAGAGTTCATCTACTCAGATTAACTTCTGTCACAAATTCATGATATTCACATTATCTTGATTACTCAGATTTTATGAGTACTCAGAGACTCATCTCTCATTGATAATGAGATTGTAAAAATGTATCATAATGTGAGAATCATTGATGAGAAACCTAGACATATTTGCATATATCTAATCAGAGATTGTGTGAGCAGAGAGAGAGTGATTATAGATCTGCAGAGCTGTAGAAGACACTGATAACACTGAGAGCTTTGTAAGAACTGTTAGCTAGAATCTGTAAGAAATTACTTATAAGAAGACTTACAGCAAAGAAGAGAACTGTACTGCTTGAAGTCAGAGACTGATCTGAGAAAGGCATGAGATTGACTGCTGGCCTGAAGATTGAGTGCAGTGACAGAGCTGAGAGAGATGAAGATACAGTTATAAACAGCAGTATCTCTGCTTCATCAGCTGATAAAAAGCAATCAGAGAAGTCACAGAGATGCTCATAAGAAGCTCAGCAGCAGACAGACATTATTTATAAAGATATTAAAATTGAAAAAATTTTTTATTCTTGAGAAGTTCTTGAATCAATATATAGATATTGTTAGAAACACTCTCTCTCTGTCATCTGAATGAAAACACTTCACAGATGAATGAGAATACTCACAGTTTATAAGAATGAGAGCTGTTATAGAAAAAGAGAAAAGAAGATAAGATTCTACAGACAGATCTGGGATATTTATACTACTTTAGAGAGATTTACTTACACTGTGAGTAATTCTGTGAAACAGCTAGATCACTCTAGTAAATAAGAATGATTGTGAATTGCAGACCTGAATCTTTCTATGTAACTATAAAGAATGATTGCAGATCACAGATATCTTGATTCTACAATTCTACAGAGTTGATGAAAGAATGAAAAATTTCTCACAATTCTACAGTGTCAAAGAACAATGATTTATAAGAATGAGTGAAAGATTAACTTACAAATACTTCTCTTTAATGAGAGTGATCTCACAGACAGTGATTCATCTGTGAGATGAATCTATGTGATGATTATACAAGAATCACATGAAAATAGTTAAGAGTTAACTGAAACTCTTCTGTATGAAAGATGTGAGATGAATCTGTGTAATAGTCAGAGAAGAATCTGTAGATTATAAAGAATCTCATGAAATAAGAAACTGAGTAACAGACTCTTTTCTCTTTATAATAATAAGGAATTTTTTCTCACTGAGGTTTTTTTTATAGATGTGAAGAATTTTTAGTGAGTATCACTGCAGTGCTGAGCTGATTCTATGAAGTCACTCAGTGAAAGACTTTATGAATAAAGCCTTAGAGAGAAGAGAATATGTAAGAAATTTCACTTCTTATGAATTCTTTACTTCTATTTCTATCTCTCATATAATCAATAGAGCTAGTGGCCCTTGGCTACACACAACTATATAGACTGGAGTTCGCGAATACTATTCACAACTCAGCTTAAATGCTATTATACATTTAATCTCTACATTTTATCTTTCTGCCATGAATACTTCTAGTAGTTAACAGTACATATCACGCCAAGCTGCAAACACCCGAATAATCGCCTGCGAGCACTTATTCTTACATGAGATCAGATCTTCATGCTTTACTATTTGAATATTATAAACAACTGAGAGAACAGTGTCAATTGCAGAACACTGTTTTCTATCTCTCATTTATTCACTGAATAAAAGAGAATTACTGATAGAGCTTATAAAAGATAGTTGAGTAGCTATTATCTTTTCTAAAATCTGTTCTAGACAGTTCAATAGAGATATTACTTTATATGACTTGAGAATTGAAGTTTTTCTATTAGGTTTTATAAGAATCACTTCAGTGACTTCTCTCCAGCATTCAGAATAATATTCATTTTTCAAGAGATTGAAAAAGAGCTCAAAATATTCATTCTTTAAGTAGAAGTATGTATTTGAAATAATCAAGTGATTAATTGAATCAGGCCCTGCAGCAGTTTTAACTGAACTTGAGAAGATAGCTGACTCTAATTCATCTTGAGTAAGATTAGGTCATTCTCAGTCATTTTCATTAATATAGTTGAGAAGTGATATATTCTCTATCTCTGAATCTGAATCTGATGAGTTTTGAAAGAGAGTTCTTATAAAAGCTTGACATTTTTTCTCAAAAGAGTTTGCTGTATATAATTCATTCTGAAACTTATATTCTAAGATTAGAAGTTTTGCTACACTTCTTGTTTTAGTATAGTTAAAAGCTTTATAAACTTTCTTTTCTTATACTTCTTTAAGAAATATATTTCAGCAGTCTATTTTAGCTCTTTTAATATCTGAAAAATATTCATTTCTGACAGTTTTGAACTCTTTATCAGAAATTATATCATTCTTTCAATCTCTTCTAGCAGTAGTCAATTGTTTTCTTTTAAATATGATATTCTCATTTCATCAAGATTTTGAATACTCAGAAGACTTTCTCTTTGAAATATTATCTTTAATACTTGCTAGAATAATAGATGTAATGAGCTTCACTCTATTCTCAAGTATTTCATTTGAGATATCTTGACCAGAATTTCAATATAGTTCACTCTATCTTTCAGATTTTAACAGTTTTATGCTTTCTTCAACTGCCTTTCAGTCAGCTTTTTCAAAGTTAAACTGATTAGAGAGAAGAGGATTTTCATTCATTTATTTCTCAGTCAGTTCAATATTAAATTAAATAATCTCATGACCTGATTCTGATGTCTCATTTGAATCAATAAATCAGTTTACAAGTCTTTTTTTCATTAGATTTTGTGACATGAAGATTAGATCTATAATAGATTTCTGTTTCATGTCTTTTCTAAAGAATGTTTGTTGATCAGACTTGTTAACTAAATCTATTAAATGCTCAAAGATTCATTCAATCAGATTATCAGCTCTTACTGCTCTTTTACATTCTGAATTTCATTAGAAATGATATGTATTGAAATCTTCTACAATTATAGAGTTTCTTGATGAAGTTATGTTTAGAAACTCTCTATTAATTGTTCAGATGTGCCCCGGTGGCCGAATGATTAATGCGGCCACCCAGTAGCACCTTGGCGTGGGAAACCAAGGCGCGTGGGTTCGAAACCCGCAGGGGATACATTAAATCCGGAACTCAAGCACCTCAGGTTTCTAATAAATACAGAGGTGTACAAATCGCTTCAATGAATTGCTCTATGTTCCTGGGCTGGAAAGTTATTATCGCATGTATCTAATTGTCACTCCTTTGTATTTTCTATGTTCTTGTTATCTTGATGTGATCTCAACACCTGTATTTCCTCCTGTATAACCAACACTTGACCTGTATTTAACATCACGCAAGGACTCATCATAAGCTCCGCTTGCATATGAGTATAATGGAAGAATAATAATAATAATAATAATTATTCAGATGTTATTATTTTTCTTCAATAACTTTTCATTATAGATATTTATAAGCTGTATAGTATCAAACTCATTCTCTTTATCTATAATATCACTCATCAGAATATCAGAGTCAGACATGATATTAAATCTTAGATTAAATTGATATCTTGATCTCTTTCTTTCATAGATCACTACTCTTGACTTTATCTCAGACTTTTGAGATATAAAGCAGTAGTAGCTTGAATGAGAAATAACATATTTTTACTCAGTATCAAAATTCAGCTTCTGAAGTAGTACAAAATCAACTTTTTATTCAAATACAATTTGAAGACAAGAATAAATGCAATTTGAGTTTCTATTTACATTATTTTAAATAAATATGATTTTTGAAGAGTTTTTAAACTTTTTTTGTTATTTTTGTTATATATTCATACTAAAAGAGAGTAGAGTAGAATCTAATCACTATTATTAGATAGTAGATTATAACTATTCTGAAAAGTAGAAATCTCAACTGCTTGCATTATATCTAGTTTATTATCAGAGTCATTTCTCAATTCTCTAATCTTAACAGAAGTTTGAGAATTCAAATTCTATTTACATTTAGCTGAAGAATTGAAGTTTGAAGATTTAGATAGTTGAGAGTTTCTTCTTTTTAAGCTTACAGTTGTGAGTTTACTGACTTGACTATTCTCTTCAGTTGTGGTTCGGAAGAACGTACGACCGTCGGATAATAACGCGGCCGCTTCCGAACTACTAGCGTACGCGTACGAGTGTAAAGGGGCCATAGCGGCCGCTAATTAATTTAGTGTACAATATTACAATATAAGAAGCCAGTGTACACCTGTAATTGTACACTGGCTTTCTGCAACCTTTGAATCATATCTGATAGCATGTCTAAAAACTGGTGAGAAGTGCAGGCTTCTTCAGAGTGTGATAATTCTGTCTATGAAGTGATTTGTAGTTATCATGTCAGTGTGGTTCTAGAACATCTCAAAAGATAGTGTACAAAGAGCAGTGAGTGAAAGAGTATCTGATTAATACTGCTTCACTTGTTGAAGAAAAACTCCACACTCAGGCAAATGCCACATATGTGAACAGATGAGATGTGAGAAAAGAAATGAAAGTAGTGAATCAGATTCAAAGAAGATCACTCTTCACTCAAAGAAATAAAAGAGAGAGATACATTTACTTCAAGAACTCAGAAGAACTGAAGAAAAGATGAAGCTTAAAGTCAATTTAAAACTGAAAAGAAAAGTCAAGCTAGTAAATCTACAACTGTAAGCTTAAAAAGAAGAAATTCTCAACTATCTAGATCTTCAAACTTCAATTCTTCAGCTAAGTATATAATATAAGCAGTTGAGGACACAACCGCTCCACCACGAACTCGCTCGATTTTTCGAATAAGAACCCGCCGATAGATCCATCGAAAAGCCCTCGATCATACGAGCATTTTGACCCCATCGCCGACCGCATACCCCGTGTGGTGGTGGAGTTATCCAGCCAAACGTGAACCAGACGTCGTTCGGAACTCCTGCGTGGGATTATCCCCCATTCTCCCCTACCACACCACAACCCCGGGCCAAATTGCCATACAAATTGTAAGGTGAAGAGACCTAGCCGCATGCACCAATCTTCTCGATTTTGGAAGATCCCCGATCTGTAGTTGTGGAGATATCTGAGAAGCGACCTCCGCGAAAACCCTGTCCATCTTTGATGTTCCAAAACACCAACGCCAAGTCCCACCCTCGTACCGCCCTTCTCAATCTGGCCCATCCCCGGCAGAAAAATACAAAACGATACCTCGGCGATAATATCAAGCACATAATCAACGGACAACGAGTCAACAGCACATCAACAACTATAAAATCAGTATACCCCAAGGTCTGACTGAGCCTTTGATCCCTGCACAGTGAGATATATTAAATCTAGTTTTAATATCTCAATATTCAATAGATTCTGCAAGGGATTGAGAACAGCAACACTAGGTTTCTATTGAATTTGAGAATTAACTCTATATTGATATAATCATTGACAAAGTCTTCTATTTTGAGATATAAATAACCAGTTCCTCTACATCCCGCTGGCAATATTTATATTATCATATAGAAACAGACTTATATTCTCTATAATATCAAGACTCTGAAGAGGGAAAGTCTTGATAGAGAGTATACAGTAGTGCATATTTTAGCAGTTTCTATCTCATTCTTCTACAGCAGTCAATGCATAAAAAAAAGATCTTAGAAATAGTTTTTTACTTCTCTTGAAAAAGTAAGGTGTTTTTCTCTGGGTTTTACACAATATTCTTACAAAGAATTAAAAACAGAGCTGTTTTCTGTCATAATTTCATATTCTTTTAAGTAAGAATTACTTTTTCAGTGACTGAAGAGCTTTCATTAATACTTAATTCTTTTTTACACTCTTTATTAACTGATTTGAGTTGCACACTTGTTGTGTGAGAAGAATTGAATAATTTAGAATAAAATTGAATAGTTTTAATCAATTTCTCTGCAAAAAATTGATTTATTTTTTGTCAGTTTTTCTCTCAAAAACTGTCATATCATCTGATTCATTATCAATTGATATCATACTTTTTCTCACTGTATTTCAAGAAAGAGATTGTAAAGATTTTATTGATTTATCTCAAAAATCAATTTTAGTTTATTAGATTCTCTTCAAAAATCTGACCTAGTTACTGAACTAGTGTGAAAAAAATCAGGTGTTTTATACACAAAAGTCTTTTATTCTTCTTTTGAAACAGTCTGATCAACTTTTCAATTGAAAACAGACTTAGAAATATCTTAATTGAAACAGTCTGACCAACTTTTCATTAAGTGAAAACAATGAGTTCAGAAATACACTCAGTTGATGTGGAAAAAGATGCTTTCTTAAATGCTATTCCTGAGATTGAAATTCTGAAGAGAAGAAAGAAAGAAGAAATAGAGAAATAACAAGTTCTTGAAATACAGAAACTTGAAAAAGCAAGTAAGATTCTTGAAAAGCAGTGTCTGAGTGAGATGAATGAAGAAGTTCTGTTAATTCTTCATGCTCAGGCTAGACAACTACAGAAGATGATCAAGTTCAAACTTGGAATCTCAAACACAGTTCAAAAAACCTTGAAAATTCCTAGTACAATCACTGACTCTTCATCTTGCTCTTCTTCTTTCTTTTTTCCTACTTCTTCTTCTTCTTTGAATCAGAAGAAAATATATGCTCAAGCAGCTGAATCTGCTGTCTCTAAACCTGCTGTCTCAAAACCTGCTCAAAATCCTGAGAAAACTGAGAAGAATACTGCTCATGCCTCTATTCATAGAAAAGTGGAAAAGAAAATGCAAAAAGAGAAAAACTTTCAAATCTTCAGAAATAGAAGACTTATTCTCAAAGTCTCAAATCAGGACATTCTGCAAAGAAACAAGCTAAACTCAAATCTCATTTTCAGAATCAGAAATGAAATTAATCAGCAGTTCTTTTCTCAGTTGATGACTGATATTAAAGTTCAAAAATCAGTTATAGCTTCAATTGAGTCATCATTCTTTGAAAACTTCATTATTCTGACTACAATGTCTGAATTCAGTGCTGAATTCCTTATTCAGAATGAGAATCTCTGAAAGTCAGCAGTAGAATCTTTGCTAAATACAACAATTCTATCTGAAAGAGATGAAAAGTGGGACAAATTCATTCTTCATAATATTTCAGTTGAAATTTTTGACTGTGAAGAAGAAATGCTACTTCTCAAAAATGAATTGAAAGAATATAACTCTATTCAACTGAGAAAGAAGCCTGTATGATTAAATTCAATTGAGTTCAGACAAAGCAGAAGAAATGCCTCTGTTCTAGTATATATAAAAACACTTGAACAGTCAAAGATCTCTGAAGTAAGAGTAGCAGGTTTGAAAATGAGAGTTTATGAATACAAAGACTCAAGAATGAATCTCAAAGCTCAAACACAGTGTTCAAACTGTCAAAGATATGAACACTTTGCAATCTCATGTTTTAGAGACTCAAAATGTGCATTCTGTGCCAGAGATCACAAAACTAGTGAGCATAAATGTGAAATATGCTCAAAAAGAGATGAAATTTGTCAATATACTCTGCTTAAGTGCTCTAATTGCAAAGAAAAACATGCATCTAGCTCAAAAGAATGTATGTTTGCTCCTAGAACTCAAAAGAACTGGAGAAAAGATGAAGCTCAAAGTCAATCTAGAACTGAAGAGAAGAGTCAAGTCAGTAAACTCATAACTGCAAGCTCAAAAAGAAGAAACTCTCAACTATCTAAGTCTTCAAACTTCAATCTCCAGCTAAATGTAAACAGAACTTGAATCCTCAAACTTCTGTTAAGATTAGAGAATTGAGAAATGACTCTGATGATAAACTAGATATAATGTAAACAGTTGAGATTTCTACTTTTCAGAACAGTTATAATCTACTATCTGATGATAGTGATTAGATTCTACTCTACTCTCTTTTAGTATGAATATACAACAAAAACAATAAAAAAAGTTTAAAAACTCTTCAAAAATCACATTTATTCAAAATAATGTGGATAGAAACTTAAATTGTATTTATTCTTGTCTTCAAATTGCATTTGAATAAAAAGTTGATTTTATACTGCTTCAGGAGCTGAATTTTGATGCTGAGCAAAAATATGTCATTTCTTATTCAAGCTACTACTGCTTTTTACCTCAAAAGTCTGAGATAAAGTCAAGAGTAGTGATCTATGAAAGAAAGAGATCAAGATATCAATTTAATCTAAGATTTAATATCATATCTGACTCTGATATTCTGGTGAGTGATATTATAGATAAAGAAAATGAGTTTGATACTATACAGCTCATAAATATCTATAATGAAAAGTCATTGAAGAAAAATAACAATATCTGAACAATTGATAGAGGATTTCTGAACATAACTTCATCAAGAAACTCTATAATTGTAGGAGATTTCAATACACATCATTCCTGATGAAATTCAGAGTGTAAGAGAGCAGTGAGAGCTGATAATCTGATTGAATGAATCTTTGAGCATTCAATAGATTTGGTTAATAAGTCTGATCAACAAACATTCTTTAGAAAAGACATGAAACAGAAGTCTATTATAGATCTAACCTTCATGTCATAAAATCTAATGAAAAGAAGACTTGTAAACTGGTTTATTGATTCAAATGAGACATCAGGATCAGGTCATGAGATTATTCAATTTGATATTGAACTGAGTGAAAAACAAATGAGTGAAAATCCTCTTCTCTCTAATCAGTATAACTTTGACAAAGCTGATTGAAAAGCAGTTGAAGAAAGCATAAAACTGTTAAAATCTGAAAGACAGAATGAGCTATATTGAAATTCTGATCAAGATATCTCAAATGAAATGCTTGAGAATAGAGTGAAGTTTATTACATCTATTATTCTAACAAGTGTTAGAGATAATATTTCAAAAAGAAAATCTTCTGAGTATTCAAAACCTTGATGAAATGAGAATATCTCATCTAAAAGGAAAGAATTAGCTACTGCTAGAAGAGATTGAAAGAATGATGTAATATCTGATGAAGAGTTCAAAGCTGTCAGAAATGAATATTTTTCAGATATCAAAAGAGCTAAAACAGACTGCTGGAATAAATTTCTTGAAGAAGCACAAGAGAAGGAAATTTTTAAAGCTTTTAACTATACTAAAACAAGAAGTGTAGCAAAACTTCCAGTCTTAGAATATAAGTTTCAGAATGAATTATATACAGCAAACTCTTTTGAGAAAAAATGTCAAGCTTTCATGAGAATTCTCTTTCAGAACTCACCAGATTCAGAGTCAGATTCAGAGGAAGAGAATATATCACTTCTTAACTACATTGATGAAAATGACTGGGAATGACCTGATCTTACAGAAGATGAATTAGAGTCAGCTATCTTCTCAAGTTCTGTTAAAACTGCTGCAGGTCCTGATTCAATTAATCACTTGATTATTCAAAATACATATTCCTACTTAAAGAATGAATATTTTGAGCTCTTTTTCAATCTCTTGAAAAATGAATATCATTCTGAATGCTGGAGAGAAGCCACTGAAGTGATTCTTATAAAACTTAATAGAAAAACTTCAATTTCTAAGTCATATAGAGTAATATCTATATTGAACTGTTTAGAAAAGGTTTTAGAAAAGATAATAGCTACTCAACTATCTTTTATAAGCTCTATAGATGATTCTCTTTTATTCAGTGAATAAATGAGAGATAGAAAACAGTGTTCTGCAATTGACACTGTTCTCTCAGTGATTCATGATATTCAAATAGCAAAGCATGAGAGTCTGATCTCAACTGCAGTTTTTATTAATATAAAAGAAGCATTTGATCATGTTTCAAAGTCAAAGTTAATTCAGACATTGAAGATATTAAAACTGCCACTTTCTCTAATAAAATGAGTTAACTGTTTTATATCTAAAAGAATTATACAACTCTTCTTTGATGAAATGAAACAAGACAAGACTGAGATAAAAATAGAAGTATCACAGAGATCTTCAATCTCATTCATTTTATTTACAATATACACTGCATATCTATTCAAAAATAGAAATATGAGAATAGTGTGATCTCTGAGTTATGTGGATGATATTGATCTAGTCTACAGCTCAAAAACTATCAAAGAGAATTTGAAAGTAATTGAAGAAGCTGCAAAGGAAATCTTTGTTAGAGCAGATATCAATCAAATTCAATTTGATATGAATAAAACTGAGTTAATTCATTTCTTTTCTAGATTCAATGAGAAAGAACTATCTCTAACTCTTTTAAATAGAGA